CTGCTTCTCCCTCTGACCCTCTCCCCTCTCATGCTGTTTCTCTCTCGCTCGCTCGCTCTCTAAAAAATAAATAAATAAAATATTAAAAAAAAAAAAGTTGTTCATTTCTTGTACATAGAAAAATGATTGATATTTTATGTTAACCTATTGTTCTTTGACCTTACTAAGCTCACTTAATGGGTTTAGGAGGGGTTTTTCTTTTTGTAGATTCCTTGGTTTTGTGCATAGACAATCATATCATTGGAGAATAGGGATAGTTTCTTTGTGCCAATATGTTTGCCTTTTATTTCTTTTTTTGCATGCCACACCGGCTAGGAACAGCATAATGTTGTGGGCATCCTTGACTTGTTTCTGATCTCCGGGGATAGCATTCTGTTTTTCACCATTAAAAATTTTTTTGCAGATACCCTTTATCACTGTGAGGAAGTTCCTTTCCTTGTTTTTTTTAATTTTATTTTAATTCTAGTATAGTTAACATACAGTGTTATATTAGTTTCAGGTGTACAACATAGTGATTCAACAATTCTGTATATTAAGGTGTGCTCATCACAATAAATATACTCTTAATCTCCTTCACCTGTTTCAGCCATCCCCCCCCACACACACACCCCCACTCTAGTAACCATCTGTTTGTTCTCTGTAGTTATTTAAGAGTCTGTTTTTTGGTTTGTCTCTTTTTTCTTTGGTCATTTGTTTCATTTCTTAAATTCCACATATGAGTGAAATCATTTCATATTTGTCTTTCTCTGACTGACTTATTTCACTTGGCATTATACCCTCTAGATCCATCCATGGTTTTGCAAATGGCAAGAGTCCATTCTGCTTTATTGCTGAGTAATATTCCAGTGTGTGTGTGTGTGTGTGTGTGTGTAATCTTCCTTATGTGATTCAATATTATTTAATGCCCTGCTCATGTGGCTTCTAAAATGATCTGCCTTCTCTTTCTAATGTGAGCATTTATTGCTATGATTTTTCCTCTTAAGCACTCCTTTGTTGCACTCCACAAATTTTGATACAATTTTTTATATTTTCATTTTTATTCAGTTCAAAATATTTTCTACATTCCTGAGACTTATTCTGTGACTCATCATTTACAAGTATGATCTTTAATGTACAAGTGATGGAAAGTTGTCCTGCTTTCTTTCTGTTAAGCTTAGTTTAATTCTATTTTGGTCAGAGATCATATTGTGTAATTTTAAGTGTTTTAAAACTGCTAGGGTTTTATGACTGAGGATATGGTCTATCTTGGTAACTATTCCATATGCACTTGAGAAGAATATGTTTTCTGCTGTTTGGTTGGAATTTTCTGTAAACATCAATTAGATTCAGTAACTTGATCTTGTTTAGTTCTTCTGTATATTTGCTTTCTGTGTAGTTGTTCTGTTACTTAGTGAAGAGTATTTCTGAAATATCCTATTATAGTCATGTATTTTTCTATTCTTCATGTCCATTCTATTCTTCTTTGTTTCCTGTATTTTAAGTTCTTTTGTTAGATGTATGCACATTTAAGATTATTATGTCTCATTATTCTCTTTATCAACATGTGATGTCCCTCTTTTGTCTCTGGTAATTTTTTGTTGTTGTTCTGAAGTCAACTTTATCTGATATTAGTATAACCATTCCAGCTTTCTTTTGATTTGTGTTTTTTTAATTAAGTTCAGTTAGCCAACATATAGTACATAACTAATTTTTGATGTAGTGTTCAATGATTCATTAGTTGCGTATAACACCCAATATTTTGTGTTCTCATGGTATATCTTCTTTAAACACTTTACCTTAAAATAACCTATATCATTAAATTTTAAGTGAGCTCCTTGTAGACATTATATTAAAAAGTCATGTTTTCTATACAATCTGAAAATGTCTTTTAATTGATCTGTTTAGATAATTTAGTTTTAATGTAACTACTAGTAAGTTTATATTTAAATCTATCCTTTTATTATTCTCACTTTTTTTCTCTGCCCTTTCCAGTTTTATTTTGGGTTATTTGTTATTTTTTTAGTATTCCATTTCAGTTTGTCAATTGTGATTTTTACTATATCTCTTGTATACACTTACAGTGATTGCTGTAGACATTGCAAAATACAACCTTAAGCTTTTCACAGTTATTTAGAATCAATATTTTCTGACTTTATTTGGATTGTAGAAACCTTACCACTTACTTGTAGGTTTTTTATCCTCCTCCCTTTATGCTATAGTTGTCAGATATTACATATACAAATACTGAAAACATCAGACAATGCTATATTTTTCATTTAAAACTACCTAGTATGTTTAAAGAATCATAAGAAAATAATAGTTATTTTACTTACTGTTTTTTTATCATTCATAATGTTTTGGGTTTTATATATTATTTCTCTTCTGTTTGAAAAATACTCTTTATCAGTTCTTTTAGACCAGTACTCCTGGCTACTGTTTCTCTTAGTTTTCCTTCACTTGAAAGTACCTTTAATTTACTACCATTTTTCAAGAATTTTTTTTTAAATTTTTTTATTCTTATATTATCCCCATACATTACATCATTAGTTTTAGATGTAGTGTTCCATGATTCATTGTTTGTGCATAATACCCAGTGCTCCATGCAGAATGTGCCCTCCTCAATACCCATCACCAGGCTAACCCATCCTCTCACCCCCCTCCCCTCTAGAACCCTCAGTCTGATTTTCAGAGTCCATAGTCTCTCATGGTTTCAAGAATATTTTTGCTTGACATAGAAATCTGGGTTAACAGTTCTTTTCCTTCAGCAGTTAAAAATGTTTCTCCACTGCTTTCTGGACACCATGGTTTCTGATGAGACATACAGTCATCTGAATTATTCTCCTATAGATAATATGTCATTTTTCTCTGGGTGCTCTCAAAAATTTTTTTGTCTTTACTTTCAGCAATTTGGTTAGGATTTGTTTGGTGCGGATTTCTTTGAGTTTATCTGGATGGAGTTTAGTCACCTTCTTCAATCTGTAGGTTTGTGTTTTTTTCCAAACCTAGGAAGTTTTCAGTCACTATTTCTTCAAATATTATTTCAGCCATATATTCTTTCTTCTCTCCTTCCGGAACTTCAGTGACATGAATATTAGACATTTTGTTATTGTCCCAAATGTCCCTTGGGCATTGTTTTTAAGTTTTTACTTATATTTCAGTTAGTTAACATACAATGTCATATTAGTTTCAGGTGTACAATTTAGTGATTCAACACTTTCATATAGCTGTTCATTTTTTTTAATCATTTATTTCTCTGTTCAGATTGGATAATTTTTATTGACCTACTTTCAAGTTCACTGACCCTTTACTCTATAATTTTTATTCTACTACTATTGAGTATATCTAATGAGCTTTTTATTTTGGTTATTGAATTTTTTAGTTTTAAGATTTCCATTAATTTCTTTTTCTTTATTTTGATGTACTCTACTTTTTTTTTTTTTTTTTTTAGATTTTATTTATTTATTTGACAGAGAGAGAGACAGCGAGAGAGGGAACACAAACGGGGAGTGGGAGAGGGAGAAGCAGACTCCCTGCCGAGCAGGGAGCCCGACGCGGGACTCAATCCCGGGACTCCAGGATCATGACCTGAGCCGAAGGCAGTCGCCTAACCAACTGAGCCACCCAGGCGCCCTGTACTCTCTACTTTAATTCCAGCATCTGTGCCATCCTAACATTGATATATGATTGCCTTTTCCTAAGTGAGTTGAGATTTTTGTGATTCTTTGTGTGCCAAGTTATTTTTGTTTTCAAAAAGTGGATGTTTTCAAAAGTAACTCATGAGGGGCGCCTGGGTTGGCTCAGTCGTTAAGTGTCTGCCTTCGGCTCAGGTCATGATCCCAGGGTCCTGGGATCGAGCCCCACATTGGGCTCCCTGCTCTGTGGGAAGCCTGCTTCTCCCTCCCCCACTCCCCCTGCTTGTGTTCCCTCTCACTGTGTCTCTCTCTGTCAAATAAATAAATAAAATCTTGAAAAAAAAGAAAGAAGAAAGTAACTCATGAGACTGCATCTTGTTTATTATATCTTATCTGTGGGCTGTGGTTTTAGTGTCAGCTTTGAAGTCTTTGAGTGATGATCCAGTCTCTCCCATGTGTGTGTTATTCATTAGTTCACATCTGGGTAGAGGTTTACTAATTAACATAATTTTAAAGTTTGGTGTGCTAATTAGGATTAGATCCATGTATGTAAATGATGGGGTCAACACATGTGTTCATAAACAACTTTATGGTAATACTTTCCTGCTCCTCTCTCCTATTATCTCCCCTGTATTTCCTGGTTCCTGAAGATTCCTTTCTCAGCCCTCCAGCCAGAAATTGTCCACTTTCATGACTGCCACATCCAAGTGACTGGAAAACAGAGAAGGTGGTAAAAAGCAACTGGGTCTGACCCTGTCCTGTCGGAGCCATGGCTCTACTTAATTGAGAAGATTCCCTTTCCTCTGAGTTTCGGCTTTTGCAGGATTCCTGTTCCTTTCTACTCTTGCCACCATCCCTGCCACAAGACTCCTAATGGGTTGGGACACAAAAGAACAGAAAAAAAATGGAATTGGCCCTCCCACACTCTCTCAGAGCTTTAGGAGTGTTTTCTTTGCATTCCTCCAGCCAGAACTAGAGAGTTTCTCCTCAATCTTATTCTATCTGCACTATCAGGCTTTGAATACTTTGTGTTCAGGCTAGGAGGATACACAAGGGGAAAAATGGTAAACCCAATGCGGGCTCAGTGATACTTCAAAATATGGTGTTCTTTCTGATCCAACTGCTGATGTTTACTTTTTATAATTCTCCAGGTTTAATAATTGAGTTCAGCGAGAAATGAAGCAGAAGGAGGGGATGGTTTACTCCATCATACCTAGAAAATAGAGATGTTTCTTTTCTCTATTTCTGAGCTTCAGGTGTCTATAAATCTGAAAATAAATTCTTTTTTTTAGGAATTCTCCTTTAGACTTAAAGGGAGGCAATGAGAGAAAGACACTATGTAGCTATGAGAAAAGAGATGGTATAAAATGTTTTAAGGGTTCAGTAGCAAGAAACTTCCTTTATCTACATATATATACAAAGACAGTTATTATCTAAAAACTTTCCAAGGACAGAGTTGGATTCACCATGTAAATTCTGCCTCTTTTTAGGTAAAAAGAATATATCAAAACATGTATTCTACGGAAATTGACCATATGCTGTCTACTTTTAACCTGCTAGAAAAGCGTGATACATTTTCAAAGTCACTGAGTGGAGGAATGAAGCGCAAACTCGCCATCATTATAGCACTCATAGGGGACTCCCAGGTATTAAGAAAAAGAGGATGAAAAGGGGGGGCAAGGAGGCACGAACCATGGGTTCCTGCCAACTGGTCTAGAAAACTCAGCTGACAAAACCCTGAGAGTTGGTATGAATGTTAAAGAAATGCTGCCAATGATAATTAGAGGGAATGTCCATTATTTGGTTCAATTGTCATAATATGATTTGGGATTATTTTTTTCTAGGGTTTTTATCATTATGTACAGTCTATATTCTGTTATCTTAGCTTAAGTGTGTTCCTCTCAAATAGCAATTATCTCACAAGTAGCCTAGCATCAATTATCAATGGTCAAGGAATTCTTCTGGTTTTTAGGTAGTGATACTTGATGAACCATCATCTGGCATGGACCCAGTCTCAAGGAGAGCCACCTGGGATCTCCTTCAACAGTATAAACAGGATCGTACCATCTTACTGACCACCCACTACATGGATGAAGCTGATTTCCTGGGTGACCGCATTGCCATCATGGTCAAGGGGACACTGCAATGCTGTGGCTCTTCTGTCTTCCTGAAACAAATATATGGTTCTCTCTCCCTTTGCTCATTCTTGAGATATTGATGCCTTAGTAATATTCTTCTAACATGATTTTAATTATATGTTGTCTACATAGCCAAAATTTCAGTGGCGCCCTCTGTCCTACTAATGAGATCTCAACAATTCTAACTGGTTTTTAAGGCCTGCAACCTGGATATTCCTTATATATATTTATCATTTGTTCTCCAACACGTACATTCAGACTCACTAAATACCTTTGTCAACCTACAAAAGCCATGCTTCTTATTTCTCCTATTTTGTACCTAATTACAGTTTTCTTTGCCCCTAGAATACAGTTGTGTCCAAGCAGATTTATGTTGTTGAGGAGAGGAAATGTGGAATCAGTTATCTCTGATCCTAATTTCTCATTTGCCAAACTAGTATTAAATCCCCAGTGTGAAGAGATAATGAGATAACGCGAAAATATGATAATTGACAGTACAGAATGTAGTACAGAATGAAAGCACCATACAAGTAGAATAAAACAGTCATTGACTTGAATAAGTATAGGGCTTTTTTAGGAGATAAAACCGATACATCAAACAGTGAATTACTGAGGGCTAAAATTACAGTAATAGGAATTCAAAATTGGAGGGTATAAACATAAATGTAGATAATTAAGCATGAATTGGTTCATCATTCAATTTGAATTCATTCGACTCACATTAATTTTACTCTATGCTAGTTGTTGTGGTATCCACTTTATATGTCATATTTAATATTCAAAGCAACCCCATTTTATAGAATGTAAAACTCGGCCCTAGATAAATTAAAAAAATTATCTAAAGTCATATTTATATGCCCATTTAGGTATTCAAAGTTTATGATCACCTTATAGTTTTGAGTTTGTGCAGTTGACTTGTAATCCAAAATTAGATTTATCTGAATTAGGTGTACCTAGGTTTATGAGCCACATCATTTAAACAGCTATGCTTTTGATAAAGAAATCATTTATAATTTCTAATAGCATTCACTAGTGTTACTAATTATTGGTAAGATAGTACATAATGTTCAAGTAGGTATTTTAAAAGGTATAATACTTTGGAATGTTCCAGTCCCTTTTTACATGCTAAACTTTAAATATACTTAAATTGGCTTCTTACATCTTAATCAAAAGCCTGGGATTTTTGTTTGCTTCCTTGATGGCAATAGGACATTCCATGTTGGTGTTAGCATTCAACTCTCACTAACTACCTCACTTCTCTGTAAAAGGAGGCATTTTCTATTCAGTTTTAAGAGCATGAGACAATTGTGTCATGATTCCTGAGAAATGAAAAATGATTCACATATCAATTTGTAAGTAAAGCAAAAGTAGTTTTTGGTTCCAATAGCTAATAAATAGTGGATAAATCACTTTATTCTCAGGATGTAGTTGCCTCTTTGTAAAATGTAATAGTGTCTTCCATACTATAAGCCAAGTAAATAAACCAGATTATCTGCTAAGAGATATATATACTTAAAAACCTAATAGTCACTTTTTAATCCTAAAAAAGAAACATAAATGCAAATATAATGACCATTTGAAATACATTTATTTAAAAGTAATGATGGTTTTCTCTAATTTCAGAAAACAATTTCTCTGTATAGGGAAAACACTAAGTGTAATAGTTCTCTATGTCTTTAAAGTCACTAGTCAAAAATCATATTCTCAGGCTTTCCATGGATCTCTGTGTAAAATTTAACAACCTTCTTTCAACACTTAATATATCCCTTTTCTGCTTTATTTTTTTGTAACACAATATATATTTTAACTTATTTCTCTTTATAATTACCTGCCTCTTTTGACTAGAAAGTAGCTCTTAGGAAGGCAGAAATTTTTATATGCTTTGTTCACTGTTCTATCCCTAGGGCCTAGTTAATGCCTGATACACCCTGGACAACCAGTGATAATAAATTAATATTTATCAAAATTACAGTTTCAAGAGTAATAAGTAGCCAGATTACAGGGGCCTTTCTTCATACATCTGTTTCTGATTATATACAGTAAGTTATTGTTCACTAAGAAAATTATGGAGGAAGTTGATGTTTATTCAGTATCTTGGTTCTTGGAGCAGCATTTGGAAGTTTTAGGTGTGAGCCTTCCTTGAGGCATAACAAAGTATCTCATGACATTCCATGTCTTCTTTGTGGACCTAGGTAACTTGAACCATGAAGAGCCAGGTTTGGAATTACAAAGAGATTAAAAAGTATGAAAATGCTTCATGTGGTCTTTTAAATGATTTCTCTCAGGTGCTGGATATCACATAGTCATGGAGAAAGAATCACATTGTGATGTTGAAAAGATCTCAGCAATAATTCACTCTCATATTCCAGATGCCACTGTGGAAAACTTTACTGGAGCTGAATTATTGTTTATCCTACCCAAAGAATATACACAGAGGTAAAGAGTCAAAGTCTTACATGGATGATTTGGGTGACCAGAAATCATTTTAAATTTTCTCTGTTTAGCAAACTTAGTAGTATTTTGCCAATAAGCCAGGTGTCCAATTACAATCTGTTGCTGACTAGATTTGAAAAGTTCACAGCTGAAGACCTCTCATTGAACAAGAGGATTTCCCCATAAGTTCAAGTTCACACAAGGCTTATTTGATTTTTTAAGTGTTTATTTAAATTCCAGTTAATTAACATGCAGTGTAAAATTAGTTTCAGGTATATAATAAAGTGATTCAACACTTACACCCAGTACTCATCACAACAAGTGCATTCCTTAAACTCCATCACCTATTTAACCTATCTCTCTACTCACATCCCCTCTGGTAACCAACAGTTTGCTCTCTATAGTTAAGAGTCTGTTTCTTGGTTTCCCTCCCTCTCTTTTTTTTTTTCCTTTGCTCATTATCCATTTGTTTTTTAAAGTCCACATATGCAAATAATACAAAACATTAACTCCAAGGGATACATGCACCCCCATGTTTATAGCAGCACTATCAACAATAGCCAAATTATGGAAACAGCCCAATATCCACTGACAGATGAATGGATAAAGAAGATGTGGTGAGAGAAGTTAAGATGGCAGAGGAGTAGGGGAGGCCATGAGTTTGTCTCATCCTTCTAATACAACTAGATATTTACATAATTCTGAACACCTGAGAAACCAATCGGAGATCTGAAAAGACAAATGCTGCAAGTCTACAAGTAGAAAAGCGACGATCCTTTGGAAGGTAGAAGTTGCAGAGACTTGAATCCTGTGTGATATAGCTGAGAATATGGTGGAGGGGAGGGAGCCTGCTTAATTAGGCTACCACAAAGTTTTACAAGCAGCGGAGTGCAGAATTGGAACTTTTAGAAGTCTGCTACAGTGAGGGACGTGCCTGGCTTAAAGGTGCTCAGGTGGTGAAGCAGGGTGGAATCCCAGGTGTGACAATGTGGTCTGAGGATCCCTGGGGTCACAAGAACAGGTGGTGCCTGAGTGCAGCAGAGTTCCTAGGCATAGGAGCATGGAAGCCAGCTGAGAACAGTGAGTCTAGGTGCCAGTTTTCTGCTCTGTGTTGCCATAAACTGCGAACTACTGTGCATTTGTGTTACTGCTTTCCTGAGACGGGTCCAGCAAAAGGCAGAAGCATGGCAAGATCCTCCCCAGTATGAACAGTGTGGGTCCACACTGGGGGAGTCCTTAAAATTTAGAGTTTTGAAACTCACGTGCCTGAGATAAAAACCCTCAGTCATAGGCCAGGTGAACAGAGAGTTCTGATGGAAACTGGGGAGACAAGAGTGATTGACTGCTTTTCTGTGAAGGCTCACTGAAGAGTGGGGGCGTGAATTTTCAGCTCTGGGGCTAGAGAGCAGGGCACAGCCATATTCACCCCACCCATCAATGATGAAAGCCTTCAGGGTGCAAAACAGCACCACCTAGTGGAGTCCAGAGCCCTTTACACCAATCCCTGCCTCCCTGCAAACTGGAGGCCCATTTCCAATAAGGCAAGTCCACCTGAGAATCAGTGCAACAGGCCCCTCCCCCCAGAAGACCAGCAAAAACAACTTTCCCACAGTTTACTGATTATAGAGGGCTTCAAAGCTTCAGCTCTTGGAGAAAACAGTATATAGCATTCTTTGTATTTTTATTCCTCAGTCTTTTAGTATTATTTATTGTTATTTTTTTCAATTCTTTTTCTCTTTTTTAAAATTTTTATTTTTATATATTGGGTTTAACTTAAGGCATTT